AAAGATTCTATCACAAAGTTTCCTAAAATTCCATTATGGTTTGACAAAAAAAAACTTTAACCACAGAATGAACCTAAATATTGACAATGCTGGAATGTAGAACCTTAGTTTAATTCTTTCCAGCTGTTTTTAAGAAGTTGCATATTAACATAGAGTATAACATGGCCAATGTCAGATAGTGGTCCATATATGTTGCTATAGCTTTCTTAAAAGGCGACACAACAATGTAAGCAAGGTTACAGCAGAATAACTAGTAATAAAACAATGTTCAAATTATATTGTCAACATAGCAATGATGATATATGTGAAAGATGTATAGAAAAGTATATATTGATGTTGACACCATGTTGAAAAAACCATACTGTAAAAATCTCTATGACCAGGATGTAAACAAGATATAGAACATGTTATACAGGATCTTCACGGGGGATATGGGCTCATATATATGGAAGTTTTTAACGACCTTGACTGGCTATACAGCCCTTGCACGGTCGGGATATGGGCTCATTTTCCCTGTCAGTGTTTTATATCTCCTGAGCCGCCAGGCAAAGGGATATAGAGCACTGACAGGGAATATGAGCCCATATCCCCTGTGAAGCCAGAATAACAATTATATTATACTGGAGTGTCCTGATCTCAAATTAATTACCATTTTGATCTTCGTTTTTGTTCACAGAGTATATGGGGCTCATATACCCTGTCAAGGTAACCCATCAAATTGCAATATTAGCCTGGATATTTCACTCAAGCATGATATATAGAGAATAATACATGGCAAAATCCGTATCATATGCCGTATCATCCCGGGGGACTTTAGGCCCAAGGGATGTTATTGGTCGAGGGTGATACGGCATGTGATACGGATTTTGCCAGGTTTTATACGCAGCGCTTTATCATATATTTAAACAGGAGAGTATAAAGGAACTGCTTTTTGATCCCTAGCACCTGGGTTACCTTCAGATTTACTTTTGCCATGTTTTAAAAGCTTTAAAAGAACTGCTTAAAGGGAAAATTCGCGATTTTTATCTTATCATCTTATTATGTTCATAATACCATAAAAAACATATTCACCAAGTTTTATGTGGATGTGAACACTAATAAAGAAGAAAATTAGGAATTATTAATTTTATTTATTCGAACTTCCTGACTTCTGTGACGTAGTTTAAGTCTATTTGCATGCCGGGAGTGGATTTAATCTCATGTTAAATCTTATTCGTTAATCATCTAATAACGCGATTTAAAGCGTATCGACGACTATTTTGCGTATCTATTAACCAACTAATAATTAAGTGAGTAAAGTGATCAGCCGTGCAACTTTTTAAATCAAAATGTACGATTTATATTTTAGGGATTTCGGATATGATTATTGTAATAAAAGTAAATCATACAATAGAATATTTTTATGAATTTTTTTTCCGACGGATATGTTGAACAAACATTTATAACTGATAGTGTAATAAAAATGCATGTTTGTATTCTCACCTTTTACTTCAGTCAAGGATTTGTCTTACTATACAAATCTTTGCTTCAGTCTAGCAAACATTTCCCGCTAGTACTGTGTAAATACAATTGTGTATTATACTGACAGTACCTGGCAAAGGCGTGGTTAAATTCACGATAATTAAAAGATTAGCATTATGTAATTTTAATCTTTTGATCTTCACTAGAGAGTTGTTTGGCCTCAAGGGTTCACCGTTTCAGGTGTGAAAAACATAAAAAAAAAGGATAAAAGAGAAGTGTGCAGGTTTTGAGACAGAAAAAAAATAATTATTTTGTAACTTTCGATAGACTTGACCTCCAACCCCCCTCCCTGGGAACAATATATCTAACAATGTATATGTTCCTGCCCATGTAAAAAAAAAGAAAAAAGAAGGAGATGAACGGTAAGTCATATCAGATTCAGATATTTATATAGTTGATTGTCGTTAACTAGAGATGCATACATGTCTCTGCGTTAACTTATAAAAATAACAGGAAAATATAGACTTGAAATAGATTGATGATGAATACTATGCAACTGCGGCACCCCTTTTTATCACAGCTTACATGCATGTATTCTAATGACTGTCCGTTATTTCAATAAAGAATGACAATTGTACACGTGACGTAAAATCCTATAGTTGGTGAGACTTTTTCTACCAGATATGCAATTTTCGTATTTATATTTTCTCTTATATTACTCTCATTTGATATTTTATGCAATATTGGGAATGGTTCATTCCCCCACAAGCTAACTAAAAAATTAATCAACCCCCTAGCTGATCAGATGTTAATACAACTACTATCAGTCTATCCGGAGTGAAGTTTCTTTATTTCTCCAAATATAGGCTTTTTGGGGATCATTAGTATACGTCCAGTGGCATATATATAACATGCATGTCGGAACAGGAAAATTGACATAAGGTACTAATAGAACCATGTTCACATTATAATACATTATACCCAACAGTTGTGATGATGACGATTTTCTTAAACTGTTCGAGAACAATTTAATTGAAATATAAATCTGTGATTTTACTATGTCCATAACTTCAATGAACCAAAGCAAGTTAGATATCGACCTGAATTTAATTCAGATTGATTCTGGATGTTTCTCTCTTATATTCAATATACATGTTTATATTTTAAATTGTGGCTATCTATAGTTCCGTAACTTCCTATCTAGGCGTATAAACCAATGATCGACAAGTGCGTACATTTTTGTTAAATCAATATTTGTATGTTTCAAAATGTCAATAATTATTGACAACGAGTATATACTTACATTTTCTCAAATTTACCCTTGGAAAATATGTAAATAGATTTTTATTTTATCAAATCTTTTTTTGGAATTATTTAGATTTTCATAAATATCATTCTTTACACCAGAAATGTTATTTGTAAACAAGCGTATGAGTTTAGTAATGACTATAGTATATCACTATCGGACACGCAAGACAAAGATGTATATTATACCTGATAGTTTTAAAATCGAAAGTTACAAGTTATCGCCCGTGTACACTGATCAACTCAGAGGTGAAGCGATGCATGAACTTGCATTATGTAATTGTATAATAAGATTTTTTAGCCCGACAGGAAATCGCTTGAATACCTGGGAATAATGCCTTTGGCCATGCTGATGATCAGATAAGGGAAGGTCCGAATTTATTTAAATAAATTATTACAAAAAACTAAAAGAATTATGAACAAATTACATTTTCGAAAAACAATCTTACATGGAACACTTATTTTTTATTTGAACTTAAAAGTTTGACTTTTTAAGTAATTCCCATTTAAATTTCTTGTTTTAAAAACAACAGACCATAGTTATTTAAAAAAAAGAATTACATTTTCCGTATCAAGTTAGTTAGGAAAGGTTGCACAACAATGTCTATTATAATCATTTTTGTGACCCGGTTAACTGTTTATGATTTCCTTGTCGAATAAAACAACCGTACACTTGACAAGGTATCGACACTCAATAACGACTACGTTAGGTTACTGCTGGTTTTGGTCCTTTGTGGTTTATAGATATCAAGTGGTTTCGTAAACCGGGAAGATGACAAAATGGCTGCATGCAGAGAATTGATACGCTCAATTTAAAATCGATGGTGATCTCTTATCTAGCAGAATAAAACTTTAATATTTATGAATTTGTGCTTTTTTATACATAATGAACATAATATCAATTTTTCATTTTTTTGCGAAGTTTCCCTTTAATTATTCATACGAAGCACCTCGGTTACCTTACTATTTGCGTCTTGTTGTTCATAGAAATATTTTGTTTATTGTATTCTTTTGTGTTTTGTATGGTATTTCATTGAGTTCTTTTTTATGGTTGCATTTCGTGTGCCAGAAAATATGAAAGCTCGACGTCTGTGACGTCATTCGATAAATGACGTCACACCCTAATGACCGTTTCATTTAGGGCCCATTGAGGAAAAATATTTCTTGAGAAGCTTGCATAAATTAAAACATGGACTTCATGTAAATTAAGTCGAAATCACTTCTGTCATAATGAGAAATTTGAGTAGGGGTGTGATAAAGGGTAGGAGTGTAATATAAAGGGATGTGATAAAGGGTGCGCATCAAAGTTGAGCAATACGGATTGAACAGCAGGCTATTTATCAAATATTCAAAACTACTGTATTTACTACTAAATATATGATAAAAATGTATATTGATGTTGACAGTATGTTGAAAACCATACTGTTAACATCTCTATGACCAGGATATAAACAAGGTATAGGATAGACAATCTATCTTGACACAATATTTTAATGATTAATGATGTAAATGATGTTTATTAAGTTCAGTTTGACCGGTGATGACACAATATCAAAAACATTTTGGTAACATCACAATGACAATTATGTTTACAATGTAAAGAAAGGTTAACCCTTACTGACAAGATATTGAAATAATATCATGAAATATTATAATAGTGCCATGATTTTGACAATGTTTATTAAGGTCAAAAGGGACAGTAAATGGGCTACAGATTTTGGTAAAATTTTGCATACAACTTTAGCTTGTTGAACTTTAACTGAAAATTTAAAAAAAATAATGCATTTATCTCTTTTATTATCTGAAATATTACTGATTGAATTCTTTCAAAATAAGTGAACATTTGTATAGAAGCAGATAAAATCGGCGAAATATCTTCTTAAATTTGTCTTAAAATCATCATATCTCCAATTTCTAATACATACATTTTTCTTAAAAAACTATATGTTGTTGATACATAAATTACTGTTCCTTGACCTTAACAATGCAAACAAAGTAAACAAAGGTCTACATATGTCGACACTATGATATTGAAATCATTTGTAAATTTCTCTGTCAATTTAAATGTGGTAAATATAGTTTGACCAATGACTGTCCACCCACATTGACCTATCTGTTTAAAGTTGTTTCCCAAGATTAACAGTTTTGCCACATTTTTCATGAAATATATTATCAACTCATTAAAAAAATAACCTGTAAGCTGAAAAGTACTTGTTTTGAATGGCTGATCTTACCTCTACTCTCTTCCTACATACATCTAGTTGATCAGGTAATATGGCCAGTGTCATAATGAAGTAGTCCGCAGGATTGTAGTTCACCGGACATGGGTAACCTTGCCTGAAATGGAAATTCTCATTTATTACATCTTCAACCAACTTCCAATATCAATAACTTGTAAAAAGTGTTCCAATAGAAAGTTTTTCTAGGTAGTTTCAATCAAGTCTTGAATAAACTAAAAGAGAATGTATTCAAATAATTAAAAAATACAAACACAATTAATCATGAGATGTTCCTTCTTTTTTTTACCTACTTACATTTTGACTTCATCCCACTGACACATTTATATACTGTAGGCCTGATGTTAATATACTCCTTGATAAATTCAATTTTTGAAGTTCAACATGATACATTTTATGTAAAATTTACATTGGGGCATAAATGTGTATCGTATCAACCTTCTTATATGAAATATAAAACATAAAGTTATTTAGCTCTGTATTATTTCATACTTACTCCTTAAAGAAATCTAAGCCTTCTTTGGCAGGTCCCATATAAGCTGTTCTTCCCTCGGCTAGCAATAATAACCTGTGTGTCATAGAGGTAACAACTTAAATCATATTACAATTTATATCAGCTTTTAATGTTTCATTGTAAAATAAAATAGGGTCATCATTAGTTTTTACATTTGAAAACAAAATAAAATATACAAAAAACCATTCTGAATTTGTCCAAGTGATTTATGGGCTGACCAGTGCCAAAATTTAAGTTCATGTTGTGTTCTTTTTTATAGATAGTCACTAAATGCTAGAAACAAAGGAAAAGGAACAATTTGGGCCAAGTTGGCGCTAAAATCAAATATATCTTAAACTATCTTGTATTTTAATAATTAAATGTAAAATGTAGGAAGTTTGATAAAACCAAAGTTGTTTTGGATAAAAATATACCCTTATCATCAGTAATTAATACAGCCATGAAATGACAGTAAATTAATAAAATGGCGAAATTATGCAAAATCTTAACTATTTGACTTGTACATGTACATGCTTAGAAATAAAAGAGAGCACAATCATTATCCAAAAGATTTTTAAACAGTTAGGGTATTTTGACATAAAAATAAGGAGATGTGGTATGATTGCCAATGAGATAATTATCCATCAAATTTCAAATGAAGTGGATGTAAGCAATAAAAGGCAACCGTACGGCCTTCAACAATGAGGAAAACCCTTACTGTGTAGTCGGCTATAAAAGGCCTTGACATGAAAAATATGAAACAATTTAAATGACAAAACTAAAGGCCTAATTTATAATAAAAAACAATTTATGAAAAATAAATATGACAGACATGAATCAACGACAACCGCTGAACTACAGACTCCTCACTAGGGACAGGGATATAAAGAATGTGGAAGGGTTAAACAGGTTTGAAGGAGCCGCCGTGACCCTCCCCTAACCTGGGACAGTGGTGTAACAGCAAAACATAAGAAAAAACTATAATAAACTGTTGACACAGAGATATGTCTCGTGTTTTGTAATTTTGGTAGTATAATGCAAATGTTGAAATTAAAATGGCAATATTTAAACATATGAACTATGTAAATCATTCAAAGTCAATTAAAAACCATGACTAGAGATGCAGAGCCAAATAACCTCCATGGAAATGAAAAGTGCAATGCTTATAAAACTTCATACCAAATACCATTGACTTATCATAAGTTGTTCCCTATGAACAAACCTAAACACAAATTTTAACTTGTAAACTATGTAAAGTTTCAAAGTCAATAGACCATGATGAGGGGTGGGGCCATATTATCTCCATGGAAATGAGACTTGCAAATGCCAATACATCTGCAAACCAAATATCATTGACTTAAGATTTGTGGTTCATCTTAAACTGACCTAATCACAAACTAATACATGTAAACTATGCAAAGCATTCAAAGTCAATAGACAATGACTGAGGGAGCGGGGCAAAATAATATCCATGGAAATGAGATGTGCTAATGCTAATACAACTGCATACTTAATATGATTGACCTACCACTAATTGTTTTCCATAATCTGATTTAATCACAAACTAATACATTGTTGGCCACACCACCAACAGCACACCTAAGTCTAACTTTTAAAACTTCTTTGACGCAGGACAATATCAGTTGAAAAGGACTAAACTCATCAGATCGTTGCAAAGCAGAGAAACACAGATCAGACAAGGCAGTTCATCTATTCACAGGCTAAAAATTATCTTGGTTAATGCTTGTGCACTATGTTAAAGTAGCCAAAATGTTCTTACAACTAGGCCAATTTTGATAAAACTCTGACAAATCTGGCTAATGATGTGACTTTAAGATGTTAGATCAAGGCTTGGCTAGAATTCACTTTTTCTGAAAAGCCTTTTTTTCAGACTCTCAAAAATGTCATTAGTAATGACATCAGTCAATGTTTTATTTTTGGTGAATTAACAGAATAAAAAAAAGCCCCAAAATGTACCATGTCCTTTCCCTTATTCTGCCCCTTTCAATGGTTCTGATCAGTTAGATTATTTTTTTTAAACACACATAATGACAATGAGTAAACTGTCATATGTGTTTTCCAACAAGAGTATGCAAAATATTATACTCAAGACTTGTCCTTATATCATCATGCTATCACCTTAACCCATTTATACTAATATTCATTCCCTAACAACATTTCAATTTGAAAATTAAACTACCTTGAGTAGATAAAAACCATAATAAACAGAATATTGTGGGTGAACTATTAGATATAATGTATAACTTCTATAGGAAATAAATTAAATCAAAAAATAGTTTGTTTTGGTCAACAATTACTATCCCTTAACAGGTTTTTTCACCTTTCATTTGATACCTCAATTACTAAAATATATTCTACATAGTTTTATATTTACACCTATATGTAGGAACTATTTTGTTTTACTGTGACTTGACTGTAAGTGTTGCTCTCCACCTATTGCAACTTATTAAAAATTCTGACCAAATTTCAATTTGTTTTATACAACCAAACTGTTCAACTGGTCAGAAATTTGAACAAACTGCTGTAGAAAACCACAGTCAAGTCGTGAAAGTGCAAGGTTAAAAGCATACTTACAATCCTCTTAGACTTTAATTCCACTTCAATGTTACATGTATTATGAAAAATCAGTCTAACAGTTTGTATAGAAATTTTATTGTTATTGTCATGCTAAAGTTGATAGGTAGTAATTTTGAATTGCTATAAAAATGTTCAAACTAAGCATAAGAATCAGTTGTTAATAAGTTTCCATAAGATAACCTAAAACATTATTCTTTTGAATATAAAAGACTTTTCGAAAGAAAAATTGATTATCTCCCATGGACACTTCCTAATAACGTATTGTAATTTCACACACATATTTTACTGAATATAAGATGTTTTAATTCAAATGATGTTTGATTCTTATGCTTAGTTTGGACATTTTTATAGCAATTCAAAATTACTACCTATCACCTTTAGCATGACAATAAGAATAAAATTTCTATACAAACTGTTAGACTGATTTTTCATAATACATGTAACATTGAAGTGGAATTAAAGTCTTATAGGATTGTAAGTATGCTTTATTTTATCACCTTGCACTTTCACGACTTGACTGTGGTTTTCTACAGCAGTTTGTTCAAATTTCTGACCAGTTGAACAGTTTGGTTGTATAAAACAAATTGAAATTTGGTCAGAATTTTTAATAAGTTGCAATAGGTGGAGAGCAACACTTACAGTCAAGTCACAGTAAAACAAAATAGTTCCTACATATAGGTGTAAATATAAAACTATGTAGAATATATTTTAGTAATTGAGGTTTCAAATGAAAGGTGAAGAAACCTTTTAAGGGATAGTAATTGTTGACCAAAACAAACTATTTTTTTATTTAATTTATTTCCTACAGATGTTATACATTATATCTAATGGTTTTCTACAGCAGTTTGTTCAAATTTCTGACCAGATGAACAGTTTGGTTTTATAAAACAAATTGCAATAGGTGGAGAGCAACACTAACAGTCAAGTCACAGTAAATATATACTACTTTCCAATATGTTCTTTTTTGATTTGCTGGTGTTACATATTACAAAGTCTATCCAAATCATTTTGCAAAGAATTCCACTCAAACCGGTGCTAAGGTCAGTCTTAAAACTTGCAATGAGGTTAGAGTTTTATTTTTTCTTCATGTTGAAGGCCTTACTGTGACTTGGAGATAAAGAACAGCAATAAAAGCACTGTTCCTTTGCTTTTTGTGTGTTTTTTTGCTGTGCATGTATTGATTTTGTGTCATGGATGGATACCCCATATCGTTTGTTTTTCTATTACTCTCTAAGATGAGCAAAATCATATTTGTAATTAAACATTAGAGCCTCACATGGGCTGTATCAAAGTTTAGCTACGAATGAAAAAGTTCAGGAAGCAGTGGACAGTCATTTATCTTATTTTCAACCACAAATCATATGGTAAAAGTATCATTGGAACCACATTACCTAATACCAACTTTTTCTCAAATCTGGCATTCAAAATCAAAAAATTCCTTGATGCAGGTTTAGCAAAGGAAAATGAGGTGCCAGAAAATCTTGAATATCAAACTGATCTCTGGAGCCTAATTATGTATTACCAGGGTTATAGTTAATTAGTTTCCACTATACTATTCTGCTGTTTGGAGGTGTGCCACACTTGAGCAGAGATTTTTAACTTCTTGACCTACTGGCATCATACAACAATCACATTTGCAATGGAGTAAAGATTATTTTCTCTTATCAGATCAACAATTTAAGGTAAAATTGTTTTCCCTGAAATGGTAGAAAAAAATGTAATTAGGTGTAAGAACTCATTGGTTTTGTATGCTTAACTAGTAAACCAACTGTTCTATAACATAAGGGAGATAATCACATCTCTTTTTAATTACTTACTGATCAAACATATCGTAGACCTCTGAAGAAGGCTGATGTATGGTACACAATATTGTATGGCCTTTGGATACCAGTTTTTTTAACATATCTACAATATTCATGGCCATATAGGAATCTAATCCCGAGGTAGGCTCATCACAAAATAATAATGGTGGGTTTGTTAGTATCTGAAATATAAATCCTTTACATTCAACTTTCAATCAGTTTTCATAATAATATCTTTAATATTTTTGCTATTCTGTTTGAGCCCTTTTGTTTTTTTTATACACTTTCGGGTTTCCAAACTTTTGGTCTTGATTGTACCTCATGAAATTTATTGTAGAAACTGTCAAACATATCACTGTTCTATAACATGACAAGGGAGATAATCTCGTTCCTTTTTATTTACTTACTGATCAAACATATCGTAAACCTCAAACAATGGCTGATGTATGGTACACAATATTGTATGGCCTTTTGATACCAGATATGTTAGTTTTCTCAATTTAATTGATTCATATTTTTCAATTCAGGGCCTTTTATAGCCGACTATACGGTATAGGTTTTACTCATTGTTGAAGGCTGTATGGTTGCCTATAATTGCTTATATCCACTTCATTTGAACTTTGGTTGATAGTTGTCTCATTGGCAATCATACCACATCTCTTTATTTTTATAAACTTGTCTCGTGTGTACAGGATTCAGTATAATACCTCACTACACAATACAGAATACAAAATTCTTGTTTTATATAAAAATGATTAACATCACTTTATGCTGCATGTGTATGTCTTGTAAACAAACATCATCTGATTACAAACTATCAAACATTCAAAACTACAAAATACTTTATAGAAAAATATACAAATGTTTTTACCTCTGAAGCAAATGAGAGTCTCTTCATTTCCCCACCTGATATACCTTTTATCCTTCCTGGAGTACCAATCAATGTGTTAGCACACTTTGACAAACCAAGCTGCAACAAATGACATACATGTCATACTATTGTAATGTAAAGCATATATGCTTTTTTGTTGTTTAACTTCATCTCTGATGGTTATTTTATTTCTGATAGATTACTCCTCAACTCCCACCCACCCCCCAAAAAGTAATAAAATAATTTTAATCAAATATCATCACTGAAACACTTGTAGTAAATAAGGACTATCATCTAATCTCCAAAAGAATATTAGTAAGATTATTCTAAAAACCCCAAGTTTTAAATAAAATTCTATAGTGATTAAAATATATCTCTGAGGAGTTCTATAAAGAAAATTAGACAATACTTTCTTGCAATAATTTTCAATAAACATGCAACACATATGCTTACTGTGTTTGTTGACATAATAAAAGAAAATGAATTTGAGAGTAAACTGGTATATATATATGAACTCTTAAAACTTCTGTTTCAATAGTTAATGTGAACTGAAACATTAAAACAAACTACAATAAGACATACATTGATGTTCTTAGTGAACAATTTATTTTCTCACAGATATTTAAAAAAGGAAAATTTTGCAAAGGGTTCCGTGGAACTCTTGCATCTCGCCTGCAATCCCTGCTATCAGTGTAAAAGTGTAAAGTTGACAGCCAAAAACTAAGTACACTTATCAGTTAAATATGAGAAAACAATTAAATTTTTTTCTTCTGTTAATATTTTTGGACCATGAAAAAGCATCTGTTGAAATTTCAAAACATTCCATGAAGGCTTGACAAAGTTATTTTAAATGTTTAAAGATCTTTAACCACAGACTGAACCATAATGTTGATGACCCTGACTACTTTGATTTGATGGATTGCTATGTTTGCATCCACTACATTTTATTAACCTAATATATTGTGCACATTTAAGAAATAAAATAATATTCTGCTACAAGTCACTAAATAATTTTATAACAAATGCACAATGAAAATGAGGTCAAGGTCAGATGAAACCTGTCAGATGGACATGTTCACATTACAATAATTATGTACACCAAATATAGTTGACCTACTGCTTATAGTATCATAGAAGCTAACCTAACCACCTAACTTTAACCTTGATCACTGATCCATAAAATGAGGTTGAGGTCAGATAAACTCTGAATGACAGACATGTAGAATTTGCATATTTCATGTACCAAATTACTCATAATATGTGAGAAAAACATATGACAAAAGACCTCTACAGGTTTTTTTAAGCAGTCACTTAACCATGAAAATGAGGTAAAGATAAGGCATCTATATTCAAATTCAGTTAATTTTCTTCATCATTTAAAACTCTCAAGAAAATATCATATTCAATTGAGAATGTCAAAATTGAAACTTTTATTTCAATGACACAGAAAAAAGAATGGGTCAGTGACTAATATGACTTCATTCAGTGGCAAAACAGGCAACTGCATTGAAAAAGTATAAAATTTTCTAAATCATGATAAATTGATTCAGTATGGTATGGAAAAAGTTAACTGTATACAATCTATCATCTGTCTAGTATCCTTTACCTCATGTATAACTTCCTCCACTCTTTCTAATCTTTTACTTTTCCTTATTCTTCTGTCCATCCTTAAAATGGCCTAAAAATATATTGAAAGGGTAAATGAAAAGAAAAAATTTATTATAATATTCTAAATCTGTATAGCTGAAATTGGATTGACTGTAAAATATCAGATCTGTCCTTTGCAAAAGTATGATTGATAAACTAATGTCATCAAATAAAAAAGTGATGATCTGAAACCTTTCATTATAATGCTCTAATTTATCTGTAATCACTATAAACCAACTTAATGACATAGATCTTTTTTTCACTCTAAGACCTTTCTTCTTAATTTCACCACCATTTAGTTTCTTAACTTTGTTGATATATTTAGATAAGAGAAGATCCATGTATGACATATTTGCAAAAAATTATATTTGTTTTATTTTTCTATTTGCAAAGTCATGCAACATTGTGTAAATAGATTGCTTGCAAAAATCAGTTGCCTTACAGTACGTGTGAGAAGAATTTTCAAACTAAACCCTGTTTAAACATAAAATAGAATGTGTACAAATAAAAATAATTGATTGTTTCTTGTTTTAATTACAAACCCTGAACTGTAAGTGTTCCCTGACTGTTAAGGCACCTATAAATAAATCATCTTGTTGGACATATGCTGAGACATTCCTGATACTTCGTCCAATTTCTATCCCATTGACCCTCACATCCCCTTGTACAACAAGCTTCCCACAATTCCTGAATGTTAAGATGTTCATTAGTGTTGACTTTCCAGCACCACTGAAAAATATTAAGTATATATCAAGTATTTGTATGTCCAACACCAATTAATGATCAGTTATACTCAAGTAATAATTGTATTTTAATGATCAAGTGACAAATAACTACCGGTATATTGGTCTTAAAAATCTTGTGATCAGCTAGATCTTATAGTTTAAGGTAAAGATCAGAAGACCACCTTTGAATGAAAGGAGTGTAATCCTTAGCATAAAAATTAAACCTCTCGATATATTTTTCTGTGGCAGTCAAAAATGTTAAATCTTTTGTGTCCCATCTTATTTTCCTTATAAAATTACTTTTTTTATTTCATGTGCATGCACATTGTTAATAGCTACATTATAGCTTTTTGTGCTGCTCACACTATACAGCAATAATTGATTAATCAATATGTATTCTCCAGGTATTTCAAAAAAGAAAAAGTTTTGCTTAAAGAATATTTATATAATTCTTACCTTGCACCCATACAAGCCATCAACGTTCCTGGTTTCAAAATTCCATTTACTGAAAAGGAAACATCAACAAATTAAAATAGTAATTTGAGGTACTTGTAAGTTTCGAAATTTCTGCAATTGTTTTATGAATATTGAGACGAGATAGGTTTCACAAAAACAAAACCAACTCTGATTTAAATTTTGATAGCATTATTTGTCTGCCGCATTTCCTTAAATCGAAATAATCATTCCCCATTTTGGTCCATTGCTCAACAATCACAACTATGAATTCATGCACACATTTCTGAAAATACAGTATTTCATTAAGGGTAAATGACAGGCCACCATTCCTAAGAAAGTATTCCAGTATTGATGTAGGGTTATGTATTCCATGTGTAGTACTCACCATTTTTTGGAAAGTGTTTGAGTATTGATGTAGGATTTTGTATTCCATGTGTAGTACTCACCATTTTTAGGAAAGTGTTTGAGTATTGATGAATGATTTTGTATTCCATGTATAGTACTCACCATTTTTAGGAAAGTGTTTGCGTATTGATGTAGGATTTTGTATCCCATGTGTAGTACTCCCTATTCTTAGGAAAGTGTTTGATTGTTAAGGTAGGATTTTGTATTCCATTTGTAGTACTCATCATTCTCAGGAATGTTTCCAGTATTAATAAAAGATTATATATTCCATGTGTAGTACTCACTATTCACAGGAAAAGTTTTTAATTTTGATGAAAGATTATGTATTTCATGTGTAGTACTCACCATTTTCAGGAAATTCAGAAAAGGGTTTGAGTATTGATGTAGTATTATGTACAACATGTGAAGTACTCAACATTCTCAAGAAGGTGTTTAAGTATTGATGTGTTATTATGTATGCCATGTGTTATACCCACCAGTCCCAAGAAAGTTTTCGTGTATTGATGTAGCTCAAGGTTGGGCGGTAAATACCACCCCCGGTATTTACCAGTGGTATTTACCGGGATTTACCACCCTGGTCAATACTCCTCAAGTGGTCAATACTGGCAAATACTGGACAATTGAAATTTTCATGGTTCTTTTGACAGATTTTACTATCAATGTTAGTTAAATCTTAGTTGATTGGGGAAATTATTTTAACTTTATTCATATGGCATGATTCAGTTTATAAAAAGGATTGATATTGGTATGTTTTATCAATTATTAGCATGAATAATGACTTATTCAGTTCTTATGGGTAATGATATAACATAGTTTAGGTATGAATATAAAATTGCTATATCAGTTATTTCAACATGTATAAAATATGTATATTTTTTTCTTGAAAAGGTTTGATTTTAACAGGTAAATAGAATTACAGGTGACTAGATTATCAGGGCATTACCTATTAAATGGCAAGCAGGTGTCAAAAGTTTATTCAATATTACAACTGTCCCCGTATAAATGTTGACATAACAGGAAAAAAGTCATAAAAGTTATTTTTGAAGACTGTTTAAAACAATTATTTTATTCCTGACTATTCAACTGCATGACAAATATCTTCTAAAACTAAATCATGTAAATACAGAAAATGGAAATTTTGAAGGATCTATACTTTGGCTGCTGTTTTTCTTTTTCTTTAATTTTATTCTAATAATCACTGTCCATGATGTGTTCATGTATAATTTCAATTTATATAAGAAAAGATAACATTAAAAAAGTCTTATTTTGACTTGAAAACTTTCATATTTTCATGACTAACAGTTATTGAATGTAGGGCTAAATATCACAGGACAGAAAGTCACAATGCAATTTTGAAAGAACTATTTCTTTGATTAAGAAAAGACTAATTTTTAAGACATTGTTTTATTACATTTGCTGAAATTACTTTTTAGAAAACAAGCTGTCATAGTCTTTTTCTAAACAGTAAGTTTTTCTTGACTGGCTTCATGGTACCAAGAAATATCCTTTGTAGGATTAATATTTAATAAATCTTCATTTAACCATGTTCATTATCAATCTCATAAACATTACAATGAATTCATTTCAAGGATTTTCCCTTACATATTCAAACACTTGTAATCTAATTAATTGTGAGTTTTTGTCCTTTACAATGTAGTAAATAAGTGACTTTCTGTCCTGTGAATATATTTGTCCATTTACCCTGTAGTTGACCAGGTAGGGACTGTATTTAATAGTAATATCTTATCAAAATTTCAATTGACCAGTATTAACCAGTATTTGCCAGTATTAACCAGTATTTGCCAGTATTTCCCGGTATTTACAGCTGGCCTGGTCAATACTAGTATTGACCGCTTTTTTGCCAACCTTGATGTAGCTTGTAGGATTATGTTCTCCATGTGTAGTACCCACCATTCCCAAGAAAGTTTCCAAGCATTGAATTAGAATTATGTATTCCATGTGTTATACCCACCATTCCCAAGAAAGTTTCCAAGCATTAATGTAGAATTATGTATTCCATGTGCAGAACTCACCATTCCTAAGAAAGAATTATGGTTTTTTCGGGCAGTCACATTATATATACATGTATCTACAATTTCTTTAAAATGTACTTTGGTATCTATTTTTCGTCTTGTTTTCTCTGTAAAGTACTTGTGGTTCCAAAAAAAAATTAAGTAACAGCTGCTATACATGTGTTGTGTATTCTCTAAGAACTACCTACCATTCCTAAGAATACGCTTTGGTATAGCTGCAGAATTATTTCCACGACAACATTTCTTGTCTTCAGGTATAGAGTACACATTGACATCTTTCCAAGAAAGTGTTATTGGGTCTACAGGGTCAACAACACTGGCCCTTGGCTGCTTAAGGTAAGTTTCACGCATATTTTTGGGTGGTTGAGTTCCATCATATGGTTGGTATAAATCGTTATCTACATAGATTGTCTCTTTTACGGATTGACTGTTTTGATCAATATTTACATACGTATGAGAGTTGCTATCAGCAGACAGTAATGGTGTTTTCTCAGACTCCATTGTAAAGTTTTGTTTTTGTATTCAAAGGCAGTCAATACATTCTATGTTCTGAAAAACAATTACAAATAATGTCATTAAATGTGCGTATTTAATTCTATACAGTATTTAAGTAATTATCATTAATAAGGCAAAAAAATCCTGTTCTGTTTTCTGCCTACCTACATACAAGTACACCAACTTTTCATGCCGATCCTAACACATTCTATGGACATTTGCTTAATGACTATTAAATCAGAGACAATTTTGGTAAAGCACTTTTAAAGTAAAGTCAATTTTGGTAAAGCACTGTTAAATTAGAGACAATTTTGGTAAAGCTCTGTTAAAGTAGAGACAATTTTGGTAAAGCACTGTTAAAGCAGAAGCACTGTTAAAGTAGACAAGGCAATTTTGATATAGCACTGTCAAAGTAGAGACAATTTTGGTTAAGCACTGTTAAAGTAGAGACAATTTTGGTAAAGCATTGTTAAAGTAGAGACAATTTTGTTAGCACTATTAAGTAAGAAAAATTTTGGTAAAGCAATATCAAAGCAGAGACAATTTTGGTACAGCACTAATAAAGTAGAGACAATTTTGGTAAAGCACTATCAAATTAGAAACAATTTTGGTAAAGTACTGTTTAAGTAGAGACAATTTTGGTAAAGCACTGTTGGAGTAGACTATTTTGGTAAATCACTGTAAAAGTAGAGACAATTTTTGTAAAGCACTGTTAAAAGTGGAGACAATTTTTGTAAAGCTTTGTTAAAGTAGAGACAATTTTGGTTAAGCACTGTTAAAGTAGAGACAATTTTGGTAAAGCATTGTTAAAGTAGAGACAATTTTGTTAGCACTATTAAGTAAGAAAAATTTTGGTAAAGCAATATCAAAGTAGAGACAATTTTGGTACAGCACTAATAAAGTAGAGACAATTTTGGTAAAGCACTATCAAATTAGAAACAATTTTGGTAAAGTACTGTTTAAGTAGAGACAATTTTGGTAAAGCACTGTTAAAGTAGAGACTATTTTGGTAAATCACTGTAAAAGTAGAGACAATTTTTGTAAAGCACTGTTAAAAGTGGAGGCAATTTTTGTAAAGCTCTGTTAAAGTAGAGACAATTTTGGTAAAGCACTGTTAAAGAAGAGACAATGTTTGTAAAGCTCTGTTAAAGTAGAGACAATTTTGGTAAAGCACTGTTAAAGTAGAGACAATTTTGATGAAGCACTGTTTAAGTAGAGACAATTTTGATGAAGCACTGTTTAAGTAGAGACAATTTTGATGAAGCACTGTTAAAGTAGAGACAATTTTGGTGAAGCACTGTTAAAGTAGAGACAATTTTGGTAAAGCACTGTTAAAGTAGAGACAATTTTGATGAAGCACTGTTTAAGTAGAGACAATTTTGATGAAGCACTGTTTAAGTAGAGACAATTTTGATGAAGCACTGTTTAAGTAGAGACAATTTTGATGAAGCACTGTTAAAGTAGAGACAATTTTGGTAAAGCACTGTTAAAGTAGAGACAATTTTGATGAAGCACTGTTAAAGTAGAGACAATTTTGGTAAAGCACTGTTAAAGTAGAGACAATTTTGATGAAGCACTGTTAAAGTAGAGACAATTTTGATGAAGCACTGTTACTGTCAAAAATCTATAAATCCTATACTATCTTATTAAAATACAGATCCTGTGCTTTGCTTTTAAGTGAAAAGTGGTTGTCCTCAAAATCATTGTAATATTGCACAATCTGATTAAAATCAAATCTTTCACTTTGAACTGATAGATTTTTTTGTTGCAGCATGTAAGATCTGAAAACTTTCCAAAAAGGGGTCATGTATATTGACCTTGAGTGCAAATGCTTAATCAACCAATCATTACAAATGACACGCTTGCACTTTGATAACAATTTTCACCCATATACAAACATTGACAAAATCCATTCAAAATTTTGCCAGTATACTGATTAAATATTTTATCTTCTTACAATTACGATACAAAAAGAGAGAAGTGGTAATGGTGATATAAGGTACTCCACAGAGAGAGAAGTGGTAATGGTGATATAAGGTACTCCACAGAGAGAGAAGTGGTAATGGTGATATAAGGTACTGTACAGAGAGAGAAGGGGTAATGGTGATATAAGGTACTCCAAAGAGAGAGAAGGGGTAATGGTGATATAAGGAACTCTACAGAGAGAGAAGGGGTAATTGTGATATAAGGTACTCCACAGAGAGAGAAGTGGTAATGGTGATATAAGGTACTCCACAGAGAGAGAAGTGGTAATGGTGATATAAGGTACTCCACAGAGAGAGAAGTGGTAATGGTGATATAAGGTACTCCACAGAGAGAGAAGTGGTAATGGTGATATAAGGTACTCCACAGAGAGAGAAGTGGTAATGGTGATATAAGGTACTCTACAGAGAGAGAAGGGTTAATGGTGATATAAGGTACTTCACAGAGAGAGAAGTGGTTATAGTGATATAAATTATTCTACAGAGAGAGAAGGGGTAATGGTGATATAAGGTACTCCACAGAGAGAGAAGGGATAATGATATAAGGTACTCCACAGAGAGGGAAGGGGTAATGGTGATATAAGGTACTCCACAGAGAGAGAAGGTGTAATGATATAAGGTACTCCACATAGAGAGAAGGGGTAATGGTGATATAAGGTACTTCACAGAGAGAAGTGTTTATGGTGATATAAGGTACTCCACAGAGAGAGAAGGGATAATGATATAAGGTACTGCACAGATAGGGAAGGGGTAATGGTGATATAAGGTACTCCACAGAGAGAGAAGGGGTAATGATATAAGGTACTCCACAGAGAGAGAAGGGGTAATGGTGATATATAAGGTACTCCACAGAGAGAGAAGGGGTAATGGTGATATAAGGTACTCCACAGAGAAAGGAGTGGTAATTGTGATATAAGGTACTCCAGAGAGAAGGGATAATGGTGATATAAGGTTCTCCACAGAGAGAAGGGGTAATGGTGATATAAGGTACTCCACAGAGAGAGAAGTGATGGTGATATAAGGTACTCCACAGAGAGAGAAGCAGTAATGGTGATATAAGGTACTCCACAGAGAAAGTGGTAATGGTGATATAAGGTACTCCACAGGGAGAAGCGGTAATGGTGATATAAGGTACTCCACAGAGAGAGAAGAGGTAATGGTGATATAAGGTACTCCATAGAGAGAGAAGGGGTAATGGTGATATAGCAGAAGTGGTAATGGTGATATAAAGTACTTCACAGAGAGAGAAGCAGTAATGGTGATATAAGGTACTCTACAGAAAGAGAAGCAGTAATGATGATATAAGGTACTCTACAGAGAGAAGGGAAGGTGATATAAGGTACTCCACAGAGAGAGAAGGGGTTATGGTGATATAAGTTACTCTACAGAGAGAGAAGGGGTAATGGTGATATAAGGTACTCCACAGAGAGAGAAGGGGTAATGGTGATATAAGGTACTCCACAGAGAGAGAAGTGGTAATGGTGATATAGGGTACTCCACAGAGAGAGAAGAGGTAATGGTGATATAAGGTACTCCACAGAGAGAGAAGTGGTAATGGTGATATAAAGTACTTCACAAAGAGAGAAGTGGTAATGGGGATATAAGGTACTCCACAGAGAGAGAAGGGGTAATGGTGATATAAGGTACTCTACAGAGAGAGAAGGGTTAATGGTGATATAAGGTACTCCACAGATAGAGAAGAGGTAATGGTGATATAAGGTACTCCAGAGAGAGAGAAGTGGTAATGGTGATATAAGGTACTTCACAGAAAGAGAAGTGGTAATGGGGATATAAGGTACTCCACAGAGAGAGAAGGGGTAATGGTGATATAAGGTACTCTACAGAGAGAGAAGGGTTAATGGTGATATAAGGTACTCCATAGAGAGAGAAGGGATAATGATACAAGGTACTCCACAGAGAGGGAAGGGGTAATGGTGATATAAGGTACTCCACAGAGAGAGAAGTTAAAGGTGATATAGGGTACTCTACAGAGAGAGAAGTGGTAATGGTGATATAAGGTACTTCAGAGAGAGAAGTGGTAATGGTGATATAAGGTACTCCACAGAGAGAGAGGAGTAATGGGGATATAAGGTACTCCACAGAGAGAAAAGGGGTAATGGTGATATAAGGAACTCCACAGAGAGAGAAGTGGTAATGATATAAGGTACTCCACAGAGAGAGAAGGGGTAATGGTGATATAAGGTACTCCACAGAGAGAGAAGGGGTAATGGTAATATAAGGTACTTCACAGAGAGAGAGGAGTAATGGGGATATAAGGTACTCCACAGAGAGAGAAGGGGCAACGGTGATATAAGGTACTTCACAGAGAGAGAAGCAGTAATGGTGATATAAGGTACTCCACAGAGAGAGGATTAATGGTGATATAAGGTACTCTACAGAGAAAGAAGGGGTAATGGTGATATAAGGTACTCTACAGAAGGAGAAGGGGTAATGGTGATATAAGGTACTACAGAGAGAGAGAGGAGTAATGGTGATATAAGGTACTCCACAGAGAGAGAAGGGGTAATGCTATAAGGTACTCCACAGAGAGAGAAGGGGTAATGATATAAGGTTCTCCACAGAGAGAAGGCGTATAGGTGATATAAGGTACTCCACAGAGAGAAAAGGGGTAATGGTGATATAAGGTACTCCACAAAGAGAGAAGTGGTAATGGTGATATGAGGTACTCAACAGAGAGAGGAGCAGTAATTGTGATTCAAGGTACTTCACAGAGAGAGAAGTGGTAATGGTGATATAAGGTACTCCACAGAGAGAGGAGTGGTAATGGTGATATAAGGTACTCCACAGAGAGAGAAGCAGTAATTGTGATTCAAGGTACTCCACAGAGAGAGAAGGGGTAATGGTGATATAAGGTACTCCACAGAGAGAGAAGCAGTAATTGTGCCACCATTATATCACCATTACCCCTTCTCTCTCTGTGGAGTACCCTATATCACCATTACCACTTCTCTCTCTGTGATTCAAGGTAATCCACAGAGAGAGAAGTGGTAATGATGATATAGGGTACTCCACAGAGAGAGAGAAGTAGTAATGGTGATATAAGGTACTTCACAGAGAGAGAAGGGTTAATTGTGATATAAGGTACTCTACTGAGAGAGAAGGGGTAATAGTGATATAAGGTACTCCACAGAGAGAGAAGTGGTAATGGTGATATAAGGTACTCCACAGAGAGAGAAGGGGTAATGGTGATATAAGGAACTCTACAGAGAGAGAGAAGGGGTAATGGTGATATATGGTACTCCACAGAGAGAGAAGTGGTAATGGTGATATAAGGTACTTCACAGAGAGAGAAGGGTTAATTGTGATATAAGGTACTCTACTGAGAGAGAAGGGGTAATAGTGATATAAGGTACTCCACAGAGAGAGAAGTGGTAATGGTGATATAAGGTACTCCACAGAGAGAGAAGGGGTAATGGTGATATAAGGAACTCCACAGAGAGAGAAGGGGTAATGGTGATATAAGGTACTCCACAGAGAGAGAAGGGATGGTGATATAAGGTACTCCACAGAGAGAGAAGCAGTAATGGTGATATAAGGTACTCCACAGAGAGAGAAGTGGTAATGGTGATATAAGGTACTCCACAGTAATAGGCCCAAGACCACAATTAATGACCCCACTTTTTGTTGTTCACGAATATAGTTCCCTTTAATTAAAGTGTATTTTTTCTTAATTTTTTTTCTTTGCCTTTCTCATTGATTTCTTAGTTTTTATGGGGTGGAAGTGAAAGAAGAGAGGTAAAATAAATTTTTGGATGTTGTATTTAAACTGATTTTGATATGGAAAGAGTGATTAGGCCAAGTGCAAAAAGGTAATATTTACAGTTTTCGGAACATCTCTTGACTTGTCGATAGGGGTATGGCTGTGTAGTGGCTAAATTTGTAAGAGTCATTGGTTCAATCTTTCTGAATTTTGGATATATTTTTGGACTAGTACTATACATTACACACACAAAAGATTTGACAAAAATGCAAGGTGCAATTTTTTTAATGAGACAAAACGTTATAAAGAACTAATAGAGGAATTAATTGTGGTCTGTGGCCTAAGAGGCTGATACCCAAATTCTTGAAAATAAAGAAAGGACCAACTTTTTTGGCAGAAAGTCTCTTGAAATGATAAATATTATTGGTTTATTGTAATTTTATTCAATATTAATCTTTAAACCGGTTATAATATGCAATTTTAGGCATTTTTGGCCATTTTGATGCACTGAAAGCCCTTTGACCCCAGTTTCAGCCCTTTCTGTCAATAATGTTGGACCCTTTTTATATTTTAGAATATATTACTACTCTATTGTCTTACAAAACATCACATCTTCAAAATGGATGCATTTTATCTAAAATATAGTCAAAAATTAAGAGATAGCTCTGCACCTGGCTATAATGGGCAGTGTAAAATTTGGACAGGTTTATGTACACCTAATGGCAAATATGGAGTTATTAATTGTAAATTTCCAGATGCCAGGGGTGGAGACAAATGCATGTGCACAGGCTTGCCTACATGGTGCATCATCAGAATATTTTTATTGATAAAACTGATGATGTTTCGCACCTGTGCCACAATTCGAAATGCATTACTGTCGAACATCTGTCGTTGGAACCTCATGGTTTCAACAACAGCCGGCAGTCATGCGTTTCAACCGGTTCCTGCTTAGGCCACCCAGATCCCCTCCCTCCCTGCAGAGTGGAGTTAAAAATGGACAATAATAATTTGGGTAAAATAATTATCGGGTACTTTTTTATTTTCATTTTACTTCTTTTTTTTTCTGGGGCAGGCCAAAATTTTATATTTTTATCAGAATGGGAGAAAAAAAGGGGAAAAAAATTGAAGGCTAATGTACAACAACTTTAGATTCTTTTTTTTGATATTTGGGTGGTCCTGAAAAGGACCTTTTATGGTTTTGTTTGCTGGTGGCTCTGGTATCTCAGTCTGCAGCAGGTCTTGGAAGCTTTGGTTTGCAGTAGCTGTCATGGTCCTGGAACTGTAAGGCAGGCAGTGGATCTAGTTGACCTTTGCAGTAATAGTCATGCTTTTTGTTCATTTCTCTCCATGTCTTGTGCTCTGCAAGCTTTTCTGCATTCTGCTTTAATCTCCTTTCTTGAACTGCTGGTCTTAGTATGTAATCTTGGTTGTATTGAAAGTCAGTGTCCATTTTCTTCAGGTGAAGTTTACTTCGTTCTGAAAGGTCTACCCCTAGATTTGTACATTTCAGTTGTGTCGAGGTTCCCGGCATGTTGTTATTTCTATGTACTCCTGAAGCAAGTCGTCCTTCCATATTTTTGGAGTAAATTACATTCTTGGGCAAATTAAGACTCAGTGCTCTATGTACTCCTTCATTTTTGTTTGTATTGTCATAAAGTTTCATACTTTCAATAGCTGCTGAAGTTAATTTCATTTTCAGGATTTCTTGAAGTAAAAATTTATCTGTTTTATCCATTTGCAGGGCAGTGATCTGGTATGTGGACAAGTACGATGAACGACTCCACCAGTTAAGTGCAGCATCACCTTTGCAGACAATGGAATATTCCGGACACAGGGTGCAGTCACTATCATAGCAGCGAAGAGTTGCCTCGAGCACTTTTGGTAAGTCTTTGCTTATTTCATCAATGTTTTTGTCATATTTCTCCATCAGTTTCTTTAATATCATGGAGCATCTGCACTTTAGATCTTTGCTAAACACCGTCCTCAGTTGTTTATTTTCCTCTTTTGTTTTTCCATGGAACATTCCGGCACTGTATTGAGTTCGCAAAGAGGCCCTGAATTGAGACTGTCCCAAATGTACATGATCTGCCAGTCTTTCCACTTTCCACATTGGTTCGAGAGCTGTAAGGGCGTCTTCAATACCTCTAGCTGAACGTCCATCTCCATCTGTGGTCACATACCGTACAAGACATTTCTGGAGTCCTAGCTGATTTCCTATCTCTTTTCCCAGCTCATACTCTGACAGAGCAGCAGCTCTGTATAAATTTGCTGTACATTCTTCATGGCCAGGACATTTTATTGGAAAGCCTTTTCCTCTAAGCCAAGCCCCTTTCCAACACATCTTATTCTGCGCAACTGCAGCTACTATATACTTTTTATCTTTCATTGTTTCTATTGCAAGGGCAAATGCTTGAGTGGCATTCTGACCGGGTTTCTTTTTACTAACAATTGTGTTGCTGTTGTATCGAGCATCCACAGTTATGTTAATTTCATCTTCTGGGACACCTCGCTTTCTGTTGTCTTCTTTTACTAGTTCCAGTTTCTGTGCCATGTCTGTTTTGTTCAGTTTGACCATTTCAGCTGCTACTCTACTGGATGTGCGTGCGTTGCATACTGCTTCGACATGGTGGTGGTGTGTCCATTCCTGCAAGGAGTTGCTGCACTGTTGTATTTCCAATTGGGCAGTCCTGCAAAGCAGATGCAAGGGCTACATTTGGTTGTCCTGGGTTGGGTCCTGGTTTGCCATTAGCTATTTCTTTGTACATCTTTATTCTGTCTCCAATAAAACCACAGGTTATGCATTTCAGGGTATACTGCCAGCAAGTTCCCCACTTTTTCTGTTCATGATAGTCAACATTAAATTTAGGACAGGATGGTGAGTCCACTTGGTGTTTATCATAAGTAGTGTTGTACAAGCTGAGTGTCAGTTGACTGTCTATCCACCTCATACCAAAATGTAATGCTTTATTTTCTTCTCTTTTCAGGTCAGCTTGCGAGCGAAGAGTACAGATGTTACCAGTCGTCTCTATTTTGCAGTCAGAAGATTGAAAAGTTTGCCGCACATGGGAAGTACATGCACTACCTGATTGAGGGATCGGTATTGATGTCTGGCTTCGGCTTCTACCACTGGGTTTTCCAGCTTGGAACCATCCAGGATTTCTTGGAGAGTTGTCTTTCTTTGACCTGTTCTTGGTATAGCCTTTAGTGAACATTTTGAAAATTTAACTGGATCCTTAATATCCCAACTTGGACTGATAGCATAAACTTTGGACATCCTTATATTTATAATCAAGCATTGTATGATATCTGCTTTGATGTACATTTTTTCCTTTGATGCAGTCTGTGGTGTAGATTTCAAGAGACCACCTTCAGAGGCAACTCTGAATTAACAGAGTTTTCTTAGCAGTATCCAACTAAGCCAATTAATCTATTATTAGGGGTCCAGATTAAGATTGTTTCATCCAAATCTATTGAAAAATGTTACTTTATCATTTATTGAGAGATTAATTTAACAAAGAAGCATATTTTTTTTTTTATTAATTTTGTTATAATTTTTTTTATCAAAATGCAATATATTTTTTAGAAACTATTTTTCTTACAGAAATCTATTATAAAATTAAAATCTATTTATCTATAAAAATAAACATAACAGAAAACTTCACTAAAAAGTTTATTTCAGAGTAATATTCCAAGGAATAAAGAAATTACACTAGTTTGAAATTTTCATTACATGTAATCTGACCTGATGTTACACATGAATATTGGTACCTCAGGTAAACAGGCCAAGTACCTGTGAAATTTGTCTGATTAGTGTTTATGTTATATTTTACTTTTTACAGATAAGATAAGCAATTTTTTAAGATAAGTTTTGAAAGTTAATTTTCTTTTTAAATATTTTTAATGGAATTTTATTTATGTTCAGTGTTGGTATATTCACTAAATTTACAAGAATTTTAGAAAAAAAATAATTTCAATTTAAAAAACATAATTTTTGATAAATTTTCTTTCAGATTCTAGAAATGTAACCATTTAGCTACTATAGACATTTTACTTTTTTAAGATATCATGTTTAACAAGAAAGTTATTAAACTTTTACTTTTCCTAGTAGTTACATGTTTTGAAAGTTTCATGCCAGAAAACAACTAGAATTATCAACATGAGGGTAGTGTTATTAAAACTATCAGAACTGCCATAAAACTTGTCGGATTGATTTGATATATGGTATGCTAGTTCGATATAGAATAAGCTTAATGGGTGCCATTTTTTGGGGTATTATATTTTAAAAAAGGGTCTAATAGGCCCAAGACCACAATTAATGACCCCACTTTTCGTTGTTCACGAATATAGTTCCCTTTAATTAAAGTGTATTTTTTCTTAATTTTTTTTCTTTGCCTTTCTCATTGATTTCTTAGTTTTTATGGGGTGGAAGTGAAAGAAGAGAGGTAAAATAAATTTTTGGATGTTGTATTTAAACTGATTTTGATATGGAAAGAGTGATTAGGCCAAGTGCAAAAAGGTAATATTTACAGTTTTCGGAACATCTCTTGACTTGTCGATAGGGGTATGGCTGTGTAGTGGCTAAATTTGTAAGAGTCATTGGTTCAATCTTTCTGAATTTTGGATATATTTTTGGACTAGTACTATACATTACACACACAAAAGATTTGACAAAAATGCAAGGTGCAATTTTTTTAATGAGACAAAACGTTATAAAGAACTAATAGAGGAATTAATTGTGGTCTGTGGCCAGAGAGAGAAGGGGTTATGGTGATATAAGGTATTCCACAGAGAGAGAAGGAGTAATGTTGATATAAGGTAGTGTAAGGCATTGGAAATACTTCTTATGAAATTATAAATTCAGAAACAGAAATATTATCTTTTAAACTTAACGGTTGTGTTCTTACGCATAGTAATTTGGCTTGCAGCGAGCAAGTGAAACATTTTACATTTGTAATCAAAGATATGGCATTAATTTACTATTTTTATGGATTTCACAGGCCAAAGTTTCACTTTTTGCCAATAAATTACAGGGGAGGCATTTCATTAGCCAAAACATAGTTTAACAAGTTAGGTGTGTACATATGTTGGTACAAAGTGATATATATCCAGTAAAGCAACTGATTTTATGTGAAAGCTCTGGAATTTGAAATGAGTTTATCATTGTTTACATTTTTTTTTGTGTACAAGTGTTACAGCAGGGAATGTATGTAATTACTCATGGGTTACCTTCTTCATGCTATATATCATGTAATTCCCGTATTAAGGATCATTTCTTGTAACCAAACATTCATATTTAAACGTCTGATATGCCTGGTATACATTGGGAAATACTTTAACTGCAATTGTTTACTGACCGGCGATTTTGCTGTCTGCCATTTTGTGGGGAATGAAACGTTGATTTTATATCTCTTAATACCAATTCGTCCCCTGGACAATTGATCTAATATTGTATTTTTAATACCACACATTTAATATTTTATGGTTATACCCTGCCGGACACAAATATATTGTAAATATTTAGATGGTTGTGATGAACAATGTTTTATGTTATTTACTTCTATGTACTTGCGAATATTGTCTGCTAAATTAATGTGCATGCAGTGGTGTCCGATTGCATATTTCAAGTTATTTTATTGATATTATGAGCTCTATTGTTTAGTTTTAATGTTTTATGTTAAAGGACAATCTTAGGACAACTCAAGATGATATGTATATTATGTTTTTCATTATCTGAAATTTGTATAGTAGTTCCGGCTACCCGGAAAGGACAAGTAACCATTGGATTAGTATGTCACATGACACTTACAATTTAGTATATAAACGCACGAGCACTCAGCAATGGCAGATAGCCCAAAGTTTTGCTGGCGGCAAGTTTGAACCTAGAAAACAATAAATTTCCAAATAAAGCAGTAATAACCTTTAGGTGAGAATTAGGATAACATAATGAAGTTTAATTAGCCGTCTTTTGTACAGTAAGCTATCTCCCACCACGTCGGACACCACAAATATGTATTTTATGATTTATTATTCAGTACAATTGAACGCTATTGTTTATTTATATAAAATTATATAATGTTATATGATTTTAACAGTTCAGCAAATAAAACTGTTAGCATTGAAAAGATCACTTTATTTTATCAAACTTGGATACATTCAAAAAGTACATGCATTTACACTGATGAAAACAATAGATGCTGGAGGACGCTCGTTCAAACATAAAAACTATGGAAAGCCGTTAGGAACAAAAATTAGCTCAGTAAGACTCGAATACAAGGGATCGCTCAATACACACATATTAAACATTCCGAGGACCATACCTGACAAAGTAATTAAGGATGTTTAATACAAATGTAGAGGTGCTCCAAGAGTCATATACTGTATTTAAGTGTTAATAAAGTAAACTACCGAGTATAGGACAGGATGCTCTCGGGTGGCTTACAGTACACAACAGAGAGAGAAGGGATGGTGATATAAGGTACTCCACAGAGAGAGAAGCAGTAATGGTGATATAAGGTACTCTACAGAGAAAAGGGATGGTGATATAAGGTACTTTACAGAGAGAGAAGCAGTAATGGTGATATAAGGTACTCTACAGAGAGAGAAGTGGTAATGGTGATATAAGGTACTCTACAGAGAGAAGGGATGGTGATATAAGGTACTTCACAGAGGGAGAAGGGGTAATTGTGATATAAAGTACTCTACAGAGAGAGAAGTGGTAATGGTGATATAAGGTACTCCACAAGGATAAGTAGTTTCTGCTCCACTAATGTAACCTGTCTTGTTTTTCATTGCAAGTCAAAATTGGTGATATGTCGCATACAGTAATCTTACAGTTGAGGAAAAGACAGGATTGTGGTTATGAGAGGTGGAACATATCTGATCCATGGTCATCTTAAACATAGATATTTCATAGTATTCATCCAAATCATGATGATGACCAAAAAAATTTCGAGGGATGACTTGAATTGGGAAATATGAATAAAACAATGAAACTTTCCCCGATTTATTTTTTGTTTTCTTCAATCACTTTAGTTTCTGAAATGTCGCTTTTGTTTCGCAATATGTCAATTTATAGATATTTGGTATATGATATTGAACAGTTATTGAGCTTTTGAAATTCACCCTTTTTAACCTAAAACTTTTCCATATGGGAGTTATCTCCCTGTATTCTGTGTATCTTTCTATCACATTTCCTCAGAAAGTGTAAAAGTTATTGCTTAAAAATTTTCTCCAAATTACAGCCAAAATGTTCATTACTTCCTCATGATGATCTGATAAATTAGGGCAGAAGCAGTCCTGTTACAAGTTATAAAAATTTTGTGTTTGACATAAACGGTATAATATGGTATGGTGGTATAACTCATAAAACATAAGTCATAGAAACCTAGAAAGCTTTTGATATGAGGTCCTTAGTCAATGAGCAGGAAATTGAAGTCAAGGTCAAATGTTATGGTCATCTTCAAAATTTTTAATTTTGCTCGTTATCGCAACTCCTAAGAAAATGTAAAAGTTATCAACATAAGGTTTTTGGCAAATTGTAAGTTGTGACATGATGCTTCCCCAATACATTCACCTGGTAGGTCAAAGTGCTTTGATTACTTGTATATATATATGAGTTTTCTTCCAATAATCAAAATAAGCTGTTTGGTAGGATAACTTCTTAACCATACATATTATGAACCTGGGGTCTTTTATAAGAGATTGAGGTCAAAAGTCAAACTTGAATTTGAGTTTTTAAATTTTGGCCAGAAGGTGATATTTAAACTGGTACATAATTAAGCCATAATGTCTTTTGCATTAAACTTGATAACATATTACCTTAAAAAAAGGTCAACCAGAAGTGACCTATAAACCGGAAGAAGTAATTTTTGCACTTATTTTATGTAAAAGTTCCTAGAAACCATATATTTTCAGAATCAGTTTCAAATCAGTATAATATTAGCTATCATATGACACCTGAAGTGGCATTTTGTACACTGGATGTAGCCAATTATCTCCCTTATTTGAAGCAAAAGTCCATGTATATTGAAACCATATATTTTTCGAATAAGGGTAATAGAATAAGAAATACATAGAAACCATATACTTTTGAAATCAGTAAAAGTAAGCTATCAGAATGACACCAAAAATGACTATTTCAAACCTGAAGTAGCTGATCATCTCCCTTATTTCAAAGAAAAGCACTAAGACTTTTTATTTTGTGAATCTGTGTAAGATTAGTTATCTTCTGACAACACTTTTATTACTTATTATTATATCATATGGGAGAGGAATTTGTAAAAGTGAAAATTCACTTGTTTTCCAATCCTAATAAAACTGTCATATTGTAATGTTTATGTTATTATTTTCAAAACAAAATATTATTTACACTAACACTTTTACATACCAAGGTTATTTTTTTTCAATTTAATTTTTTTTTCATATTTGTATAAAAGTTCAATAAACAAACAGAAGAAGGACATCACTCACAAAAACAAATATTAAAATGGAGATTGAAAACAACAATTTTGACAGGGATATAGATGTGACATCTGAATAAAGTTATATGGAAACTTCTGTTGAAGAAACAGATATTGTGTCAGTGTGTTCATCAAATTAGTTATTATTTTCGCATGTTGAAAATACAGAATTGCTCAATTTATTTGTCCCCAATCTGAAGTATTGAAAAATTGGATATCCCATAATTGTGACAGTCAGTTGTCATTAGTCACAACTGGAGATTTGAACATTTTCAGCTGGAGTTTGGGCCTCATAATTAGAGATTTTTATCAACATTTTTATCAGCGTTTTCAGTGTTCATTTAGATGAAAAAGCTACATATTTCCTTTTTTTTTTGATAAGAGAATTAATATAAATATATTCTCTTAAAAAAAATTAATGTAGAACTCAATTTTGCCTTTGTCATGTTAAAAATTGCTTTGAACTCCTTTCGACCTGTCAACAAAAAAAAGTTGGTTTTCCAGCATCTATTCACATATCAGTTATTAAAATCAAATAAGTAAACAACAATATAATTTTTGTGCACTGGGTAGATTTAACTATTTTGTTACATTTATAATGAGCTTTACTATTTGTTTTAGCCTTTTTTTCCTTTTCTATTCTTTTTCGTATTTCTTAGTGAGTTCCTAAATTGTTCAAGTCTGTTCCCGATTCTAAATAATGTTGTTTTTTTTTAATAAAGTATTACCTATATTAAATTACCTTTAAAATCTAGCCAAAGCTCTCTGTAGCCAGATCTAGCATGATTATTCACATCTGAGACTACTATAACATATGTGTTATAGTAGTCTCAGTTCACATAAACATTTAGATGAGTAAATAAACGTCATATGAATTTCAATTTAAGCATTGTCTGATACCCCTTTCAAACTCCCACGTTCACTCCCAAGCAACTTTCACGTGTAATACATGTACCATGCACATTTGTAAACAACACTGTTTTGTTTTGATTTTTATCTTTTTTATTTGTGCATTTTCTTTTACAAGTTGATTTAAGGCCTTGAAATTATAAATATACCTGTCATTTGTATTGAATCATGGAACTTATTCAATATTGCAAACTTTACCTTTTTCCAGTCATTTACTTGTTTACAATCTGTTTTTATGCAAGATCAGTGAACTTTAGTTCAGGTCAACCTTTGTACCGATATCACGTGTTCTATTGAGTATATATCCCGCCAAAATGTAAATTCTCGCTTTTAATATTACTTGTAATAATTAATGTAAATTAATGTAATTATGAAAGTCTTCTTGGTCCTTTAATATCCTTTTATACACAAATGGTTTAAATCTTTAAATAAAAAAAATTCTATATCTGATTTGTATGCAGATGATACTACTGTTCATTACCTGAGACTACTGTACATAGTCCGTCAGTCATTACCCATCTGGATCTAAACTCTGTAAATTGATAGTCATTTCATGTTAAATAAAGACATGCAAGCTATTAGAATATGGTGTTAAGAATGATCTGGTAATTAATACAACTAACTCAAAATATGTTAGTAGGATCAAATCGCAACATACAAACTACAGATTGCAATTTGAATATATTGTACGACCGTGCGATACATAATTGAAGAAAACGTGAATATGAAATATATTGCAAGGAATAATTATTGATAATCAGAGTCGGATTTAGGGCCGGCGAGGCGCTTCATATACGATAAATGCAAAGGCTTTTTACAAATATCACTCCAAACGTCGGCATGTCTGGGAGCCCCCGCCACATTTTTCCCACCCACTTTTTTTCAAATTCCTTGATCCGCACCAGGTAACTCTTTCTCGTTGTGTAAGCCAATAGGCAATGTGGTTTCCAAAATATCTTCTAGGATTGGTTTGATGTGTCGTTTAAAACATAGCTCCCAACAGATGGTTTAATATTATCATGACTAGACAGTGGCGGATCCAGAACTTTTTGTAAAGGGGGCGCTGACTGACCAAAAGGGGGGGGGGCTCCAGTCACGATTCAGTGATTCCCTATATAATCTACCAAATTTTTCCCACCAAAAGGGGGGCTGGGCCCCCCAGTCCCCCCCCCCCCACCCCTGTATCCGCCTATGCTAGAAACGGTTATATATTACCACTTTTTGACTTCTGTCGTTCTATATGGAGAAAAATAACTGATTCTAACACTGAAAAACTATATAAATTATAAAATCGTGCAGTTAGATTTTACCGACCGTGCGAGGGCTTTATTGTCAGTCAAGGTCGTTGAAAAAACCCATAAGTAAGTTAGATTTTGTATTGATTCTTTATCAATACAGCTAGTTCGATAGCTATTCATCGTAGAAACGAAGATCACAAGGGAGGTTTAATGTTTTGGGTGTATGAATAATAATGCACCTAAATATTTATGTACTATCTTTGCTTAGTGTGGTAATTTTACAAAATGAATTTGTTCTGAAACCCCATTCAAATTTTATGAAAAAAAATCTCCATTATACAGGCACCATATTATGGAATTCTTTACAGTACACCTATAGTATCAAAAAATCGTAAGGGTTCCGCAGAACCCAGTGTCTCGCATACTTTTGATGTTGTCTACGTTTTCAGTGTGATAGGGGAATGCACATAATAGATTTACAGTTAATGAAATAAAACGTTTGAATGTATGAAAAAAGTTATGCTTGTAAAAAATGAATACAGTATGCAATTAAATCTATAGATTTATATTGAAACATAAATTTATTGAATGAACAAATGCTATACAATCTTGGTGTAACAATAACAGTATGAAAATTAATGCACAAAAAAGTGTATGAAATTGGGTTCAAAACAAAAACTTACACAACTATCAGAATTATGTATTACCGTCAATGAAACATGTATTGAAAATGTTCATTCTTTCAAATTACTTGGAATTGACATTGATGAAAATTTAAGCTGGGAGGATCATGTTGATCGTATATGCAAGATTATCTCATCTAAAATATCACTTGTGTTTAAAATTAAAGTATATTTGCCTATACACACAAGACAACTATTTTATAATGCATATATTCTACCATATATAGACTATTGTAGTTCAGTTTGGGGAAATTTATTACAAAAAGATTCAGATAGAATCATAAAACTTCAAAAAAGAGTAGCAAGAATCATACTTGAATGCGATATTTCTGTTCCATCTAATTTTATGTTTTCATCTTTAAAATGGCTATCTTTTACAAAAAGATTAAAATACCAACAATCAATTCTAATGTATAAAATTATAAATGGACTAACACCTGATTACTTAACAATGCTAAATATTAATGATGTGCAACGCCACAACTTACGATCTGTCTCTAATAATGATCTATTTGTTCCAAGACCAAATACAAATTTTTATAAAAAATCTTTTCATTATTCTGCAACAAAGGTTTGAATAATTTACCACTCAAAATAAAAAATTGTCGAAATGTGGAATTATTTAAGAAACATTGTTATAATCATTTTCTTGAAAATTCGAATAATTTGTTTTCTTTCTTTTATTGTGAGAATAAGAAAATTTAATCAAAACTTTACCAATTATTGCCATTTATTGCCATTTGTATGTTTGAATGATTGAATTGTGTATATACTAGTAATATATATTGTATTTTAATGTATGAATGTATGAATGTTAACTGTATACATGTATTTTGTTTGAGGGCCTCAATGAAAATTAGACTACTTCTAATTGAGTTACCCTCTTTAAAAAAAGAATTTATTATTATTATTATTATTATTATTATTATAAAGAAGATAACTTTTACATTGCTTGATGATTAATCCCTTAATTCATCAATAAAAATGCATGTAAATAGAAGATGCAATTATAAAATTTTGTTCAAAATAATCGATGCAACTAAAAAAGTAGAATATATGTGCAAATAAGAAAATTGTGTGTTATAGGAAATATGGGAAGCATTTTTTCCTCATAAACAAACAACATTTTCAATGATTATAGAGTCAATTAAAATAAAATGATTAGCGGCCAGGTGGCATAAATATGAATAGAAAAATGTATTATCGCAAGATGTTATTTATCAGGAATTGAGTCATCCTAAATAAAACAAAAATGGGGGAAAAATTATTAAAAAATTTCCTTTAGATACTATCTTTTGATTGTAAGAAGCTTCTTTCTAAGTTTGGTAAAAATCCAGGATGGTTTATGAATCTAATAAATGTTTTCAAACCTTAACTGCAGACTGTATGTAATGTTAACTGGAAGAAAAACTAAGTCCATTTATAAGTAATATACGGAAAAACAAGAAATAAATTTTTACAAAATTTCCTTCTAGATACTAGCTTTTGGTCATAAACAAGCTTCTGTCCAAGTTTGGTAAAAATCCAGGATAGTTTAAGAACGTTATTAAAATTTTTAAAGCTTTAACCACAGAGTGAATGTAATGTTAACTGGCTGAAAAACTAAGTCCATTTATAAGTAAAATACGGATAAACAGGATTTTTGTTTACAAAATTTACTTCTGGATACTATCTTATGATCATAAACAAGCTTCTGTCCAAGTTTGGTAGAAATCCAGGATAGTTTAAGAAAGTTATTAAAATTTCAAAAACTTTAACCACAGAGTGAATATTTGTGGACGCCGCCGACGAAGACGACGACGACGACGGAATGTAGGATCGCTATGTCTCGCTTTTGCGACAAAAGTCGCAGGCTCGACAAAAAGTATAGAAACTATTGGTACGCCTAAACTGATATTACTATGTGTTATAGAAATCTCAGGCTTCAAGAAAAGTATACAGTATATCTTATGTACAGAAGCCAGAAAATCATTGAAACATTTTATTTCACAAAAAAGTATTTACTTACTTACGTGCTTACTTGCTTGCTCCGTCATTAATGATTAAATAATGTATATAACCGCTAACCGAGTCCAGCACATATATAAGTATAATGATCATTAGATAAGATTAAAAACTGGGTGAAACATAAAGAAGTCAATAGGTATAACTTTCATTCCAGGGTGTAAAACTGCCAGTATTCCTTCTTCACACTTGTATTTAATGCGTTGGAAATGAAATCATAAGGAAAATATTTTACACGAGTATATTTCCTCTAAAAGGAAGGAATACACTGCAGGAAAAAAATAATATGTAACATAACTTGTATTGCCCGTCATAAATATTTAATTTTTATCAATACACAAAATGCTATTACATAACAATAAGTATAAGCAATTTTTGGGCAAAGTCCGCATATAGATATTAATATTAAAACAATTATAAGAAATAAGAAAATAGAGGTGGGAGGGTGGATAATTTTAACTCCTCAATGTGGGTGATTTAGAAGAAAATGTCGAATTTTGAATTTGAATGAAATTGAATACATGTAACCATCTACTTTATAAACAAACCAAAACATACAATACTTCTTAAACAACATTTATAAAATGCTATTATATATCTCCCAGTTGCTACGATATTCCAGAGATTGCATTTCCTATCATGATTTCCTTGATATAGGGTTACTGCAAGCTATTTAACCAAGAGTTCCAAGTGGTGAAGCTGAAATCATCCCTTCGAAAATTTTACGGACGACACCACATCTGTTTCACAGATGACGACGAAAATGTTCCAATTGTCGTATCACAACCATGCAATCTTTTCCTCGAATGTGACTTACCGAATTAGACTTACCACCGGGTTTGTACTTATAGGAGCAACATGACGGGTGCCACATGTGGAGCAGGATCTGCTTACCCTTCCAGAGCACCTGAGATCATTTCGGTTTTTGGTGGGGTTCGTGTTGTTCAGTCTTTAGCTTTCTGTGTTGTGTTTTGTGTACTGTTGTTTGTCTTGCCGCCGTTTTTCGTTTTTTCCCATGGTGTTGTCAGTTTGTTTTCGACTTATGATTTGAATATTCATTTGGTATCTTTCGCCTCTATTTTATAGATAATAAGACTCATAAATTCCCATAAAAGGGACGATTTTTCGTTCCCTATTGTCAATTTTCCTTTTCTGGACGATGATGTTCCTTTGGCACCATCTTACAGTGTTTATATATCCCAACTCATTCGCTGTGTCCGTGTCTGTAGTGACGTTTTGGATTTCAATGAACGTAATCTATGTATTACTGGTAAATTATTGAATCGGGGATCTCGTTACTACAAATTACTT